TTTTTTCATTTCCTTCCATTCTGTCCAACAAAGGTCAAGCATGTAAAGCGTTGAAACAAATAGTAATCCCTTATAAAAGTTGGCCTGTAAGTGTATCGGAAAAGAAAGAAATTGAATGAAATTAGTACTGAGCTTCTTGCTCACGTCTTTGGGGCTCCCTTCCTCAACTCGACGAAATAAATGCCATTGCTAAGTGGTACCCCTTTAAATTACTGGTCATGCTCTCTTTCAAGGAATCGTTCATCAAATGATGAGACGAATGTGGTTAGGCTTTTCTGAAAGTATTTGAAAATGCTATCTGATCGACGTCGTCTTTTTTTTTCATCTGGCTGTATTGAAGCAGCACTTATTTGGACAGCTTTTACTTGGGAAAAGAAGGCCCCATTCACCAGGTTATCTGCTTTATGCTTTTCGACTACTGGGTGATGTACTGCATGCTTGAGTGTTTCGAGTTGTACTGAAAGTAAAACATTGACTGTTGAACTCTACTTCTTCAATTATGAGGTCCTTTCTGCCAGTTTGCCTTATAAAATCCAAGCTTCGCGCAGGCAAGCTTCGCATGTGGTCCATGGTCGAGCTTCCGTAAACCCAAACTGGATAGCGGATCCCACCCTAAGGGATCGGTCGCTACGTAGGTCGATTGTTCCATGCAATTTAGGGTGAACGTTGAATCGACGTTGAGCCAACAACCCCAGTTTCTTGAGGCAAAAACAAGTGGAAAGAAGCAGCACTGGCTACAGGCCAATGCCAAGTTCTCCTTCTGAGTGCTTCGAAAGAAGGATACATTATTCTATGGCTAGCGCATGGGTTGGGGCAATGTTGCGGGCGTCTGCTAGACGTGAGATGAATCCTCTAAAGTTGAAAGGTTGTAACTAGTACCTGTTCCTTCGTTAGGGAATTTATTCATCCTTTCTCTATATCTTAGTCGGACAGTTCGTTCCATTTTCCTTGTTCTGTGGTTTAGTATTCGAAGTTTATTGTTTTTTAGCAATTCGAGGATGTGACTAGACGCGAAGAAGCTATTCCTCGTCCAAGAAGTGTCGACTCCTTGACAAGAAGCCGTTATAACGATAGGCTGATCAAGTAAGTTCACAAATCGTGTAACATAATAATCCATTCATATTTATCTGTTTCAGCGTCGAGAGGTGCTTCGTAAATCCGCGAGGTACACCGGATGACGCCTCTGCTCGTCACGTCCTCTTTTCAATAAGTAAAACGAATAATTACGCAGGACGAGTGATGCAACAAGTTTATAAAGTGGTCAGTCGTGATCAGAATCAGTAAGACGAAAAAAAATGAGCGGATAGTAGGTTCTCATCCTGAGGTTGAAGAGAATTCATAGGTTCTTTTGGAAGCTTTCATGCGAAGGCGTCTCTTCATTATTCGGAACTCGACTACTACTAAATTCAATATAAAGAACAATAAATTCGAAATTGCTTTCGTGTTTATTGCTCGCCCTAGTAAGATCGCTTTAGAGGGCGGAGGTGGGTTAGTGGCAAGTGGCGCACTATATCACACGCACGGTCAGGGGTTCGNAAGTTCTCCTTCTGAGTGCTTCGAAAGAAGGATACATTTTTTTATGGCTAGCGCGTGGGTTGGGGCAATGTTGCGGGCATCTGCTAGACCGGTGAGATGAATCCTCCACATTTGAAGGGTTGTAACTAGTACCTGTTCCTTCGTTGGGGAATTTATTCATCCTTTCTCTATATCTTAGTCGGAC